TGTAAGGGTTAACAGTTCGTGTTAGGGTACAGGTTAATGTTTAGTGATTGTGTAGGGAATACTGTGTAGTGTAAGGGTTAACAGTTCGTGTTAGGGTATATGTTAATGTTTAGTGATTGTGTAGGGAATACTGTGTAGTGTAAGGGTTAACAGTTCGTGTTAGGGTATAGTTTAATGTTTAGTGATCGTGTAGGGAATACTGTGTAGTGTAAGGGTTAACAGTTCGTGTTAGGGTATAGTTTAATGTTTAGTGATTGTGTAGGGAATACTGTGTAGTGTAAGGGTTAACAGTTCGTGTTAGGGTATAGGTTAATGTTTAGTGATAGTGTAGGGAATACTGTACCACATAGTAAGGGTTAACATTTAGTTATAATGTAGTGTATTTTGGGGGTTAATGTGTGACATACATGTCCCTGTGCTGCCTGAGATTAGTGGGATTCACAGTTCCAGGATGGCTGCTGTGGTCATTACAATGAAGGCAAGTGCCACTTGGGAGTGTGACTCCCACCAATCTTAGGCAGAACAAGACATAAAACACAAGACTTAAAGGGGTGATCAAAGCATTATTAGACGTTCATTAGGTGGAAAATGACATGCAATGACATCATAGTATATGTAATACCGGATTCAAAAATATGACCTGCCTACTGAAATAATAGAGATTATGTAATATAGCTTTAAAATTTACAAGGCTAATTTAAAAAATTACTTATCCTCAGGCAATTTGTATGGGATATAAGTCACAGCTATTGCCATACTAAGTCCATCACTGCTCCCAAAGTACCCAGACACTGGTGCACACACTATCATAGACGTGCGCATGGGGTGTGCCGGGTGTGCCTGGGCACACCCTAATCCCCGCGGCATGCCTATGGATTGAGTCCTGCAGGAACAGCGTTCCTGCACCTTTTTTTGAGCAGGAACGCTGTTCCTGCAGGCACACAGCGCCCCCAAACACCCCCCTTCCTCCCCCCGTGTTGTCCCTGTCATGGGGGGGCAAGAGGTGATGGATCCCCTCCATCTCAGCCGCGCACCGTTTGCTGATGCCGGGAGCCGGAATATGACGTCATATTCCGGCTCCCAGCTACTGTAGACAGCACACAGCTCCCTCGCCGTGGCTGAGACCAAAGATCTACCTCACCGGTCCACAGCAGCATGGAGGGAGGCAGGAGAGGACCCAGGGAGCTCTAGACAGCAGCTCCGCCAGGTTCCTCTCGCGATATCTGAGCGTTGCCGTGGCAACGCTCAGATCTCGTGAGAGTTAACTCTAGCCCTGTGGGCTAGAGTTCACTCTCCACTGGACCACCAGGGATGGCACATGGCAGCAAGGATCCCCCCTCCCTACATAAGGTCAGAAGGGAGGGGGGATATTTACTAATCTGCCCCCACCTCCACAATCCCTCCAAACATACAGCACACACACACATACAGCACCCACAGCACCTACACACATACAGCTCACACACAGCACACTCACACACACACACAGTACACTAACTGCACCCTCACAAACACACACAGCACCTTTAAAAAAAACACAACACCCTCACACACAGCACACAAACAGCACCCTCACAAACACACATACACAAACAGCACCCTCAGAAATACAAGACACTCACACAAACAGCACCCTCACACACACAGCACCCTCACAGGACAAACACACACACACAAACACCCTCACACACAAACAGCACCGTCACAAACACACACACACACACAAACACCCTCACCCACACATCACACCAACAGCATCCTCACACACACATCACACTAACAGCACACACAGCACCCTCACACAGCACACTAACAGCAGTGTATGTATGTGTGTGTGTGTGTATATATATATATATATATATATATACACACACACACATATACATGCGGCATGTGTTTGTGCTTTAGGGTGCACACCCTATTGCAATAAGATGCGCACGCCTATGCACACTATCATGTCTGTGCAGGCTCCGTGGCGAACCGAGGGAAAGGCGCTATAGGCGGAAGTTCAATATGGCCATGTCCCGGTTCATGCGCCACCTGGGTGGTGTAGTAGTAAGACACGTTGAGTTGGAAGGGGACAATGACGCACTAATGAGGCGAGATGGTGTGCACCTGTCCCCTATTGGGTTTGACATCTTTAACATGGGCCTGCAAGCTGGAATTAGGGAGGCGCTGTCGGCGGGGGGGCATGATGCCCGCGCAGTGTAGTGCGCGAGGAGGGGCATCGCGGTGGCGGTTTCCATGGACAGCGCAGAGGAAGAAAGGATCATTGGGGAGACGAGAGCCGGCACAGAGCTGTTGACGAGGAGCTGGCTGTCGAGGGTTATGGCACCGAATGGGTGTGAGAACTGCCTGTCGGGCAAACACCCAACAGCTGGTAGATTTGGACTGAGTTAAATTGTTAATTTAAATAAAGCTGTGGCCGTTGCCCTTATCCACAAGAATGAGGTGTCACGTGTATCATTGGGGGGCAACGGGTTGTTGGTTGGGACTGGTTGGGTCAGCAGTCATGGTGCATTCTTCTGAAAATATTGTATACAGTATGCAATAATATCTATATAAACAAAACATCTGGTATCACCCCCTAGTGACGACATCATGCGTTTTTTCGTATTACTGAAACTGGTGTAAAGGACTGAGGGCACCGTGCGCCATCTAGATGAAAGTACTAATGACACTTGGTTTTCCTCCCAAATTTTCTCCATGCTGCTATTTTTTTAATTTTATTTTTAATTCTTTATTTTTGTTCGTGCATGGGATAACATTCAGGTCTGCTATGCCACAACAGTTGTAGGAGACTATTTGACAACAGAGTGTAACATGGCATAGATCATACTGTGCACAATTTTTTAAATAACATTTTTTAAAGCAAACTGTGTCTGTGGGTGAATATGCATAAGGATTAATGCAGGTATGCTTTGTAGGCTGTCACCGATTTAGTAAATATAGTAATGTAACACGTTATGAGGTTAATAAAGACAAGATTAACACAGTGTACGTTGGACAATATAATCAGCTTGGTGGTCATATTGATAGGTATGTGCTTATGGTGGGTTGGTGGAGGCAAAGATAACCTAGTATTGCTTTGTAAATAGTATTAATATCTAAACAGTAGAATGTGGGTTATATGCGTTGTGTATATTTATGGTGGGCCAACAGAGATCCTAGGGACCTGGTGCCTGTCATGCAGTGTTGACAGCTTAGCGGTTCTGATGGAGGTGGTGTGCAATGTGTGAGATTATACTGTTGATACATGCAAAGATGAGGATCTCATATTGCTTGCTAGACTATAGCATTCGCTTAACGGTTATGGTGAAAGTGTGTGTACTGTGCGTGTGTATTATGAAGAGAAATAGGAAGAAAAAATACATGCTGCTATTTTTTATTTTATTCCTGTAATACATTAAAGGGATTCTATAGTGCCAGGAAAACAAACCCGGTTTCCTGGCACTATAGGCTCGTGCAGTGCCCCCCTCCCTCATGCCCTTATGCGGTGCTGAAGGGGTTAAAACCCCTTCAGTCACTTAACTGAATCCAGCACCCATGTCCCTTGGCGCTGGGTCAGGCTCTGCCCACGCTCCTCCCCCGCCAACGAAAGCCGGCGGGTGATACCTAATGCGCATGCACAGCCATGGCCGCGTTCAACTATTCCAACTATTCATTGTTTTCCTATGGGGAACAATCTGACGCTGGAGGTCCTCATGCAGAGCGTGAGGATGTCCAGCGTCAGATAACGGACCAAAGGTCCGTTTCGATTCTGGAAGTCTCTCTAGTGGCTGTCTGGTAGACAGCCACTAGAGGAGGAGTTAACCCTTAGAGGTAATTGTAGCGGGCCTGCTAGTAACCTGGCTAATTGTCCCTGCTCAGCCACATCTTTCCCTAGAAGGGAGTCAGTTAAAATACAGAAGACTCATTTCCCACCCAGTAACCGGACGACACACAGTGCTGGGGGTACAACAACAACTTTATTGACCACACTCGGCTTTATACTTTCCCCATGCAAGAGGTGAATTACACATGAAGACAATGTTCCCTTCCCAGGGTCCTCTCCATCCCAGGGGTCACATAACAGAACCGGAACTCCAATCCCTTTGTCCCCTGTTCCTGCTACCCATCCTCAGGGTTTCCCACCTCCGGTTTCCCACCTCCGGTGACCATCCCATGAGCCTCTGTACCTGGGAGCCCCAGTGCGGGAAAGCTTCCTGCCTCCTGGACTCCCAGTTACAGAAATCCCACCAAACCACCATTTTCCCCAAAAGAGTGTCCCCACCAATCTCAGAGACCCCCAGAACGGCAACCACCAAGAACAGCCTCGCGGGATCCCTGGGTGAAACCAGGCAAGGGAAGCATCTCCTTGATCTCCTGAATGGGGAGCAGGCACATTCATACGAAAATAATGGGGAAACACACAAAATATAATACAGGCAGCGGTCCTGCCACAGTTATCAATGCAGTTTCTCAGAAATAGCAATAATTACTGCTCTAGGGTAAAGGGACATTTCACCCAGACCACCTCAATGAACTGAAGTGGTCTGGGTACCTACAGTGTCCCTTTAAGCTTCAAATTGCTAACTTTATTCGTGCCTATCATTTCCTCTGCAAAAGAGTGAAAAACGTCAGCAAGCCATTTTCTTAGTCATTTCCCAGTGTTAGCCACAATTCCTCATTTACCAAATGCTTGACTCAGAATAAATACAAGCAAGCCTCATGAATGCTTGAAAAATATGCGTAGTGGAACCATTTTCTGTCTCTGAGAATCATGGGAAAATAATTCATAAGTTTGCATGAACTCTCTTGTCTGTGCCTTTCCAGAAACAGTTGCAGAGTTAACGTTACGTTTTATAAATTGATAAGCATACAAATGTTTTTAAAAATCAGTCAGGTAAACAACACACACATAACACAAGTAATAGATAATTGTATTTTGTTATTTTTTGAATGCAAAAACACACTTCTAAGAATGTTTAGTTTTGCTTGCAGCCTATATATTTCTATATGTTGCATTAGTACGTATCAGTGACACCGTCCTTCCCCTCATTAACTGAAATCTAAAATAATGGCATCATAACAATCTGGCAATAAAGAGAATATCCAACTCTTGACATTACGAGTATTACACTTTACACCACTCTTTTCCTTCGATGGACTATGTTCCTCCTTCCATCCTTCGGCCGTAGTGGCAGACAGAAGGAAAGGGTTAACTTGGCAATGGTTTGCCTTTGTTTACCCTTTAGAACATGGTAGTCCCCTTGGGGAAGGAGGGCTGCAGCTGTTCGTTCACTTGCTCCAAATTTCTTCAGAGAATCGGTTGGACATGGTAGCATCGCCTCTCAGCGGGGATGCATTAGATCAAAAAATGGGCAACATCACAGTGAAAAATTGACTGACAGAGTCGGAAATGGCCATGAGCCTTTCAAGAAGATGAATTTTAATAACTGCTTTTCTGAGCGGGCAAAGATTGGCCCCATGAAGCTTCCTAGGGAAGAGACATATTAGGAGCTACAGAAAATCTCTCTGTGGTACTCCGTATTCCAGTAGACGTCAAGCAAATTCTATATTACAAACAGATACAATAAGTGGCTCCATGATTTATCTCGACAATAGGATAATATTGGTGGAGCAATAAATGGGAACATAAGTTATTGAGTAGAATACATTGAGTGATGGAAAAATGTCTTGGGCAGGTGCACCTTCTGGTCTACACATGGCCATCACTGATCATACACAAATGTTCTTGTGCTTTAGGTGCTGAACACACCAAGGCTACTCCCACTTCGGGAAGCTGTTTCATTGAAAATTCGGAAGCCACGTTTCCTAAAACAGAGCGAATAATTTAGCAAACACTACAGAACAATGGCCACTCCATGACCTACATAACAACATATATCCGAAAACGGCATCATGACCTTAGATGAGGGAAGGGAGGCTAGTGATGTGATACAGCTTCAAATACATTATAAGATTTAATAAAGTTGGACAGCAGAAGTTAATAGGGAGAGTCCCAGGGGGCATGATTTAGTTGGAGAGAGGCAGATTGATGAGTAATTTGCAAAAATACAATTTATACGGCTTTTATCCAGATGCACCACTGAAAAGGGCTAGGAGGGGGCAGAAATAGTTTAGAAGGTGAAAGGAGGGGGGTTGACATGTTTATTCCCCCACTGAGCTAGGGAATCACAAGAAAAGATGAAAATGGACTAGCAGTCCAGGCAATGGAAATCACTTGGTAATAGCTTGTGTGTGTGTGTTTTAAACAATACTTACTGTTGTTATTTTTTGCCTGACATGGTAAAGCGGAGGGTGTCCGTTATTAAATCTCTGACATGGACCCACCAGTGTCTTGGCATATATTGTCAATCTATAATGGATATGGTACATACTCTGATAGGTGTAGTAGGGAGGCAGGATATTGGAAAGAAAAAGTAAACCTATAAATATCAAAATAATATTTTCACATGAGTGTAGTGAGATAACTGTATGGACCAGTTATATAATATACCGTGTGTGCTGTATGGACCAGTTATATAATATACCGTGTGTGCTGTATGGACCAGTTATATAATATACCGTGTGTGCTGTATGGACCAGTTATATAATATACCGTGTGTGCTGTATGGACCAGTTATATAATATACCGTGTGTGCTGTATGGACCATGGGTGTCACATGGTGCTGTATGTGTTATGGGTGTCACATGGTGCTGTATGTGTTATGGGTGTCACATGGCGCTGTATGTGTTATGGGTGTCATATGATGCTGTATGTGTTATGGGTGTCATATAATGCTGTATGTGTTATGGGTGTCATATGATGCTGTATGTGTTATGGGTGTCATATGATGCTGTATGTATTATGGGTGTCACATGGTGCTGTATGTGTTATGGGTGTCACATGGCGCTGTATGTGTTATGGGTGTCATATGATGCTGTATGTGTTATGGGTGTCATATGATGCTGTATGTGTTATGGGTGTCATATGATGCTGTATGTGTTATGGGTGTCATATGGGTGCTGTATGTATTATGGGTGTCATATGATGCTGTATGTATTATGGGTGTCATATGATGCTGTATGTATTATGGGTGTCATATGATGCTGTATGTATTATGGGTGTCACATGGTGCTGTATGTGTTATGGGTGTCACATGATGCCGTATGTGTTATGGGTGTCACATGGTGCCGTATGTGTTATATGTGCAATCTGATGCAGTATGTGCTAGCCTATGGGTGTTGTTTTGTCCTTTATCAGTGTCTTGCTGCTAATGTACGTTCTATCTATCCATCCATCAGTCCTTCCGCTGTCCATTGGCTCATCCACCAATACATCCCTATCCCTATATGTAGCTATAATGTGTATAACTATCTGTATCTACCTACCTCTGTATCTTAGTGTCCATATTTATAAAGCTTTTATATTTAATAATATAATTATTAATAATAATATTCATATGTATGTCTACTGTATTTCTGTCGGCCAGCTTTTCTCCACAGAGGCATCTCTGCTGTTATATTATGTTGGGTATTTAATAAAACCCATTAATAACATGATATAATTAATAAATGATCCCCCTAAATGCCTCGTTCCCCAAACCCCATCACTGTAAGTGTTATATCAGCCATTGGTCGCAACGTCGCCCTCCCCCTGATCACTAATGTTCTCCTCCAGCAGATTGTGGCCCGTATAATTAGGGGTATAGCCGCACCCTGTCTCCGGAGGAGTCCGGTCCCAGAGGTTGAATGAGGGGAGGGATGTGGTTAAGAGAAGCGTGAACATTCTGTCACTGTTTTCAGCCTATTGTTGCAGCTCCTGCCGGCCCAGTTTCTGGCATATGGTCAGCATTGTGTGTCAGACAAAGGGAGCACTTAATGTTAATTCAGCTCCGTAGTCCGGCCTCACCGTGCCGACAGACTGGCTTCTCTGCACCGCTCCCTGTCTGAATGCCAAGATGAGAAGGCTTGTTGTTTTTTCATGTTTGTCCTGAAGAGGCTGTGAGTAGCCCTGTCACAGCTGGACTGGAGAAATGCTTTATCGAAATGAATGAAGATCCAATTGTCTGTCGACGTTGGTTTCATTATGTATTGAAAGGGACAGGCATTGTGCTCGGCTCGCTGGGAATGACTACATCTATTAGTGGCTCAGTCCCACCTAGCACCGCGCCGACGCAGATATATATGGCAACCTGGGGCTCCTCAGATGTTGTACTGCAATTCCAGCACGCTCATCCAGCATACTGCTGCCACACAATGGATGGCAGGTGCTGGCCTGGGAGTGATGGCAGTTGCTGCCTTGGGGTGATGAAAATCACTATCTGGAAATACTTTTTTTTATTAGCCTGTTTTGGGGGCACAGCAGATGATCCTCTCAATAGGGGGGCAAATGGCTGATGATGATGGGAGTTGTAGTCATAAAATCTACTTTTTGTCCACCCTAGCATTATTCTACAAGGTATTTTTCCTGATCCCCTAAATATGTCATAATTTACTTTTATATTTTGTTTTTCCACTTCGCATCATTGCCAAATAGGTTGGTGCTAAATAAATAATAAAATGAGAATTTCAGTAGTAAATAATATTAATAATGACTGATTTCAGTAGTTAGAATGCACTGGATTCAGTGTGGTCTTTATTATACTGATTGTCCTCCCAGCGGAGATGGTAGTTTCATTATTGCAGAAAGGGTAGGTTTGCTAATTTGGAAACAGGTCAAAAAAGGCAAAACTGAAGAAATAGGACAGGCAGTCTAGATATTATAAAATGATTAAATGAACACAGGAAGTACCTAAACAGTGCAGTGTTCTGTAGTGGTTATTGTTCCCCGAGTGCTCTTAGCGAAGCCAATGTAAGTAGTAAAAATGTTTTGACTTCTTACCTGGAGTCAGCTTGGCACCGATCCCTGCCTGCACTACGTTAGCAAGCTGGAAGCTATCTGTCTGAGCTAAGCTTCTCAGTGCAGGACTTAGCTCTGTCGAGCTAACGGAAGCTGGTAAGCAGGAGCATTCTGCTCTCCTGGCTACTGAGAGGAGGAGGGAATCTACACCGACAGACCCAAGTAAGAAGTCAGATGGTTCTAAAAAGCTTTGAAGCGCACTGTAGTGGTTATGGTTCTTGAAGCAAAAAAAAATTGCAACCAGACCTTGACAAACCAGATCCTTATGTCACTCACAAGAGCAATAGGAGATATTTGGGCCCCATGTGTCGTAAAGCCCAGTACAACAAGGGTTAACAGAGCTTTGTAGGATCATTCAGTCAGATACATAGAATTCTATATAAAACACCGACACACACTATGCATCATTTAGTCATGTTTGCCGATGTTAATTCAAGGCATTCATAAGCCTTGACACTACAGGCACCATAACAACTGACATCACTAGTTTGGTTATGGAACGATTTGCTCAATAACTGCAGCAATTTGGAAAAAATAGATCCACTCACCAAACTGAATGGAGTATTGGTAAGCCGGTAGCTTAGGTTACCAAGAACTTAAAGAGACACTGTAGGCATTGTAACTACTTTATCTCACTGAAGTGCTTATAGTGTCTGGAGTCCCCTGGCACTGTCCTTCCATTCTGAGTTAAACCATTTTAATGTTTTAACACTAAAGAGTCCATTTACTCTATGCTGCGGAATGAGGAAGTATTAGCCTGAGAAGACGTTCAGCCTATCACAGCACCGACTGCTGGTATGAATTGGTATGACTAGAAAGAAGTGTAAGTGGGGACCGGGCTGTGGGTTTCACCCTCGTCCAGAGTTAAACTACTCAAAAATGGTTTAAAACTGAATGGAGGGACAGTTCCAGGAGACCCCAGTTACTACAACCAATTCAATGAAATGAAAAGGTGATACTGCCTCCAGTGTATCTTTAACTACATGGTCAGTTCCATTGATAACACTAAGAGAATGCTGAGTATCTGAACCACTTCCTGGTCTGGGCTGAGATCACTGCAAATACCATATATGTATATTTTATCGTAAATTATATTTTAATGCATTTTCCCTATCGGAGAGCCAATCTTTAGTGTTGAAGCCTTCAATAGGAATGGCAAACCTCCGTAGGAATATTAACCCCTTAAGGACACATGACACGTGTGACATGTCATGATTCCCTTTTATTCCAGAAGTTTGGTCCTTAAGGGGTTAAAGGACCACTATAGGCACCCAGACCACTTCAGCTTAATGAAGTGGTCTGGGTGCCAGGTCCAGCCAGGATTAACCCTTTTTTCTATAAACATAGCAGTTGTTTAGATGTTTATATTAGGGTTAATCCAGCCTTTAGTGGCTGTCTCATCGACAGCCGCTAGAGGCGCTTGCGTGCTTCTCACTGTGAAAATCACAGTGAGAAGATGCCAGCGTCCATAGGAAAGCATTGTGAATGCTTTCCTATGAGACTGGCTGAATGCGCGCGCGGCTCTTGCCGCGCATGCGCATTCAGCCGAGGAGGAGGAGAGGAGGAGAGTCCCCTGCCTGGCGCTGGAGAAAGAGGTCATTTTAACCCCTTCCTCCCCCTAGAGCCCGGCGGGAGGGGTCCCTGAGGGTGGGGGCACCCTCAGGGCACTATAGTGCCAGGAAAACGAGTATGTTTTCCTGGCACTATAGTGGTCCTTTAATTAAAACATTTGTTCATTCTTCTGAAGGATCACTCCAAGTACCTGAGATACGAGATCCCATCTGACACAGCACAAAGCATGAAATCGTTCTCAATTATTTTTCATTCTTTTTTTCAAATTCTTGGTTTGCAGATCAGCTGAACCCTCATGTATACGTCTCCTGTTACAAAGAACAACAACAACAACAAAAATTATAGAGTAAACATACATCAGTACATTTCCTATAATCCTTTGCTGCCCATGATTCATGAATGCTGATCATATTTCCAATAGGATATTATAGGCAGTGGCGGCTCTAGACTTTATGAGGCCTTAGGCGAAACTCAAACATAAGGCCCCACTAACACCAAAAGTGAAAAAAAATAATAGGGTTGCATTTTATGTGACAGGATTATAGGCATTAATGTGACAGGGTGAGTGTGGCAGGGCTGGGAGGAGAGTGAGACAGAGTGAGAGAAGGTGAGTGTGACAGAATTAGGCGGGTTAATGTGACAGGGTGAGTGTGGCAGGGGGGTGAGATTAATAATATTAGGAGTGGTTAATGTGAGTGTGGACGCGTAAAGGGGCTGAATGTGTGTGTGGGGGGGTGACAGTGTAAGGGCAGGCTGACAGTGTGTGTGGGAGGCTGACTGTGAGAGTATGGTGACACTACATTGTGGGGGGGTGACAGTGTGTGGGGGGCATGATACTGTGAGAGAATGGGGTTGATACTGTGGGAGAAGGGGGGATGATAGTGGTGTGGGACAGTGGGTTGGTACTGTGTGGGACAGAGGGTGATACTGTGAGGGAAGGGGTTGGTACTGTGTGGGACAGAGGGTGATACTGTGAGGGAAGGGGGTGATACTGTGTGGGACAGAGGGTGATACTGTGTGGGACAGAGGGTGATACTGTGAGGGAAGGGGGTGGTACTGTGAGGGAAGGGGGTGGTACTGTGTGGGACAGAGGGTGATACTGTGAGGGAAGGGGGTGGTACTGTGTGGGACAGTGGGTTGATACTGTGAGGGAAGGGGGTGGTACTGTGTGGGACAGAGGGTGATACTGTGAGGTGGGAATATTGTGAGGGAGGGGGTAATACTGTGGGAGGATATTGTGAGAGAGGAGTGTAATGGTGTGAGGGAAGGGGTGAGGGTGTTAGGGGGGATACTTGGAGTGGGGATACTGGGAGGGAGAGGGTTAATGCTGGGGGATACTGGGAGGGAGAGGTTAATGCTGGGTGGGGGAATACTGGAAGGAGAGGGTTAATGCTGGGGATACTGGGAGGGAAAGGGTTAATGCTGGGGAACTACTGGGAGGGACAGGGTTGATGCTGGGGGATACTGGGAGGGAGAGGGTTAGTGCTGGGGAAATACTGGGAGGGAGAGGGCTAATGCTGGGGGATTGGGAGGATTAATGCTGGGGAATACTGGGGAGAGGTTAATGCTGGGGATGAGGGAGAGGGTTAATGCTGGGAAATACGGAGGGAGAGGGTTAATGCTGGGGGAGGAGAGGGCTAATGCTGGGGAATACCGAAGGAGGGTTGGCCGGGGATAGGGAGAGAGGGTTAACACTGAGGTAAATACCGGGAGGAGAGGGCTAGGCTGGGGTGGAAATCGGGAGGAGAGGAAGAATTAATGCTGGGGGGAATACTGGGAGGGAGAGGGTTAATGTTGGGAGGAATACTGGGAGGGTTAATGCTGTGGGAGAATACTGGGAGGGAAAGGGTTAATACTGGGGGAATACTGGATGGGAGAGGGCTAATGCTGGGGTGGGGGAATACTGGAAGGGAGAGGGTTAATGTTGGGGAAATACTGGGAGGGAGAGGGTTAATGCTGGGGTGGGGGAATATTGGAAGGGAGAGGGTTAATGCTGGGGGGAATACTGGAGGGAGAGGGTTAATGTTGGGGTGGGGAACATTGAGGGAGAGGTTAATGCTGGGAATACTGGAAGGGAGAGGGTTAATGCTGGGGGAACACTGGGAGGGAGAGGGTTAATGTTGGGAGGAATACTGGGAGGGTTAATGCTGTGGGAGAATACTGGGAGGGAAAGGGTTAATACTGGGGGAATACTGGATGGGAGAGGGTTAATGCTGTGGGAGAATACTGGGAGGGAAAGGGTTAATACTGGGGGAATACTGGATGGGAGAGGGTTAATGCTGGGGGGGGATACTGGGAGGGAGAGGGTTAATGCTGGGGGATACTGGGAGGGAGAGGGTTAATGCTGGTGAGGGATACTGGCAGGGAGAGGGTTAATGCTGTGGGGGGAATACTGGGAGGGAGAGGGTTAATGCTGGGGTGGGGGAATACTGGAAGGGAAAGGGTTAGTGCTGGGGGATACTGGGTGGGAGAAGGTTAATACTGGGGTGGGGGAAAACTGGGAGGGAGAAGGTTAATGCTGGGCTCCCTGGTGGTCCTGTGGCAATGGCCACCGGTCTACAGCTCCGCAGTGTGCATAGCTGCAGACCATGTATCTTGTGAGATCAAGTCAGAACGTTGCTGCAAGGCCGCGAGACCCCAGACAGCCTGTGGCCTTAAGCGGCTGCCTAAACCGCCTAATTAGAGAGCCGCCTCTGATTATACACAGCTATTTCATACAGCGGC